GCCTGGGGTTGAAGGGGATAGCCTTTGGTCCCGACAAAGCCCAGAGACACCTTCTGTTTAAACTGTCCATTTCTATCGTTTTATGAAAGTGACAGGCAGCATAGTACACTATAACTGGCATAATGATGTTACATTTATCTACATAAACAAAGGGTACTTTGACTTAAGACGGTTTTATTCTAACAGCATTTTAAAAACCCCAAACGCTCTCCACCATCCCCTCTTATTACCTTCATGTGTTACATGATGGTGCTTAATGAAGAGACAGAGCTGAACGTGTGTCTGTTTATTAGGAGGAATAACGTTAGCGCGCTCGGCTAAAGCATTCAGGAAACTGAAATTGGAGACGACGACACTGATTATGAGCATAAAGCGCTTTCACAATATTCTTATTTTCAAATTTTACATCAGTGATGGTAGTTAGCTGTCTGGCTAACAAACTTGATGATTTTTGATTACGATTTTTCACAAATTCGTATTACAGAAGCAAATCTTAATTTAGGAGTCTTGTCTTCAGCATCTTATCTCAAATTAAGAAATCTTGTCTTACTCAGTTGAAGTCAACAATCAACAGTTATGCTCGTTATCTAGCAACCGGCCATATGCACACGGCTGAAATGTAAACATATCTTGACCTGTCAGGTCTTAAGACAAAAAGAAAAGACGTTTCTGTAATACAGCCCCAGATGTCTGAAGCATTTAATGCCTTTAAAAGTTACCTTACAGAAACGTATTACATGAAATGATCATGAATAAGTTGCCTTATGCCTGAGACATTGCTTTATGGAAAGCTAAAAATATTTTTATAAAATGTGTTCATGGCAGAAGGAGACATGCTGGGCATGTAAGGCGATATAAACCCCTGATATTTTACTATAATCAGTATTACATTGCAGTTTTACACTGGTGAAATGTCCTGCCCTGATGTACCCTTGTGTTTGTCTGCATTCCCCAGTCCAGTCCGCATCCAATCCACTGTCTAGTTCCATTGTCTTGTTCTTGGCCTCTCCTCTTAGCCAACTACATTGGCATGCTTGACATTGCTGTTTCCTCGAATGCTTCAGTTAAAAGCACATCTGTGGTTTAAATTAAACCCAATTACTGTTTCATTTAAAAATCACACCTCTGCCACTAGATGGTGCTCTATGTAAGGTTTAACTGATGGGATCTTAAGCCTACCACAGACATGGAGGTTTAAGGCAAGATTATTATAACTGAAGCACATTTTTCAGCTTAGATAGTTTAATATTCCTTATCTATGCCCATATACATTCCATCATAATGTTTTGTGGACTCTATGTTTTAATTTAATGCTACATTGTTTAATTAAACACACACTAGACTGGCGACCTGTCCAAGTGTTTCCTGCCTTCCACCTGATGACCGCTGAGACAGGCTTTAGCACACCCCAGGATCCAGAAGGACAACAAGCTTAGACAATTTAAGTATCTTGTAAATTAAATCAGAGCTTTTTAGGTGGTAAGTAACATGAGCAACACTGTTACTGTACTGCGATTTCAAACCCACGCCCACATGATAAAGCCATTATCTTGCCATTCTACAGTAAGCATGCTGCTAATGCACTGCATCTTAATACCTGTTCTAAAAGATACTGAACATAATCACAGAAGGACACAGAAGAATACATTTTCTCCTACCTTTCTCCAGCATGAACTTTAAAGCTATCTTTAGAGCACCCTCTGAGCCAAAGCTCTCCAGGACAAGTTCAGATGCTTCATGGACATCATGAGCGTCCTGAGGAGACTCAAAGCATTCAGGGTAATTTTGACACAGATAATTAATAAACTCATTCTTGTTGTTGTTCAGTGTTTGCTCAAGTAAAGACACTGTGTCAAGCTCCTGGAGGACCGGTAACCAAGACAAGTAAAAAAAAAAAAATTGGATCAAAATCTGATTTTTTTTTTATACCCATTTGGTACAAACATCATCATCAAGCAATTGCTAATATATATTTTGGCCAAAAAGCAGCTACTTGCAGGTCTTTGTTGTGTGAGAAACAACACGGTATAACATGATAATATAATGTTCAAGCTGTATAGTAACCTCTTTATGCAGGCCCCCTGGTGGCTATTGTGAAATGTGAAAATCCAGTTTTGTAAATCATACGCATTTACACTGAAACATATTCTATCAACGTTATAAAAGAAAAAACATTGTTCAAAGCAGGTCGAAACTGCATTTTATAGCTACTGTAAAAAAAGGGTAAGGTTAGTAGTTGAGAATATGGCTGTAAATTTATATCACAATATAACTGAAACATCTGGTGGTTTTAACAACTGCTCTGGTGTCCATATTAGTCTAAGGCTAATAGTTCTAAAGAATAATTTCTACATTGATCAACAAGCCACAGTCATGGCAGAAAATGGAAAAACAGACTGGTTCCACATCGGAGTTAGACAAGACTGCATACTATCACCATACATGTTCAACCTATACACAGAACATATAATGAGGAACGCAAGACTGGAGGAAGACGATCAAGGATTCAAGATTAATGGACGACAAAGACAAACAAATGGATCCTCAACCAAATAAAGCCTCATCTTTTACTTCAATCCCAGATAACCAAACTGAAACTCTTTTTTTAAGCTCTCTAAGCTCTCTTATTTTGCATTGAAGGTATAAGAGGAAAGGAACGCTCAGCTATAAGATGAATGGATGCAATCAGAGGAATCATGAATCATGAGTCATTCAGAAGCCTGAAGACCCAAACAGAAGACAGGATACTCTAGAGAAACGCTAGCCATATGGTCACCAGAAGTCGGAATTGACTTGACAATACTTAATAATAATATTCTGTGGTATACTGGTATAACAGTTATTAAACAATAGATGAACCAGCATACGGCCCACTACTAGCTAAGGTTTCAGGACCATAGTTCATAGTCCAATAAGCCAAGATCTCTCATGAGACTCAGTCCCATTATTTTTGAAGATGTTAACTCCCATCACTGTGCAATCATGAAGTGCTTCAGTTACAAAGAGCTCACTTTAAAGCTTTGTGAGAAATATGGGATTGGTACTGGTATCAGTTGATGCTCAAGGTTTCAGTATTGGTATAGGAAATTGGTATCATATTCCTTTAAAGCCTTTTTATGAGGCATAAAGGCACATGTACATATCCGTGCCCATATAATAATATTCATAAGTAAACAAAAGAGGGTACACAGCCACGAGATTATGAGTAATAGATAAATTCAGATAGACACACAGCTGGAAACAAGTGAAGCCGGTTTTCTTGACTACAACAGAAACAAACAGCCTGTCAACACCTGTCCTACACTGCAAAAAACTATATTCAAGTGAAATTATCTTAAATTGAGTCAATATATTTGAAATTGTTTTAAGCTTATTATAAGATTATTTTACTTATTACTAAACATTTACTTGTTTTAAGTGATTTCAGTAAGTCAAATTATGCCACTATATTGTCATATTGGCAGATAACATTTCTTGCTTCAAGCTTATTGTGTTACAACAAGCAAAATTATCTGCCAATATAGTAAGGTAATTTGACTTACTAAAACAAAACGAGTGACAAGTCTAAAAAAAAGCTAAATAATCTTATAATGAGCTTAAAACAATCTTGAAATGAGAGTTATTTGACAAATTGACAAGGTTTAAGATCATTTCACTTGAAAACTATTTTTTTTTTAGTAGTGTATGCACAGGTGCCAACTACACGGGGTTGCCCTCCACCACCCCAAAACTAAACAAAGTGGACATCATCTTATGAATGATTCTAGTGTTGAGTAACCAGAAATCTAATGACACAGTTATAAACAGTATGTTTTGTTTTTTTCTTTCTTCTTCTTCTCTTTTTTGTGCCTTGTCTTTTTTCCTCTCTTGATGTTTTACAAAGAAATTCAGTTTGATACGTTGATGTTGAGCTTTCATGTGTCCTCCTGTCACTGTATTATTGTATAAAATGTCATTTTTTATTTTTATTATTACTCCAAAAAAAAAGCAATGCAAACTGTCCTACCGTAGTGCATATTTACAGGTAGATCCCTACACAAAAATATAGGTAGGACAATTTGATGAACTAAATGACCTTATCAAAAAATGCTAAGCATTAAAACTATAAATAAAAGATTTTGATAGCTTAAATCACTTTATCAAGGGTAAGTAGTGTTATTAAGCTAAGTCTGTACAGTATACTTGAAGTAAGGCAGAATTAACCTATAAAGTTACTGTAATGGACTACTGATTTGTGAGCTTAGCGAGTTAATATGACTCACTGAAAAGAGTCTGAATCGTGCTGGTATATACTGTTTTTTTTCTAGCAAGGAAAATGACTTTCTATTAGAAATCTAATGCGCTATTTGGGTGTAGAAGCTGTTGTTTCATGACTTATATTGAGAGTACTGAGCCAGAGAATTACCACTCTGCAATGTCTTCTGGGTTTCTCAAACGCTACAGGGGGTTTCGAGCGAGTCAAAAATGAATGGGTTAATATGGAGCAACTGAGCAAAATCATAGTTCATAAATGCTTAAACATTTTTAATGTAAAAGAATACATTAATTTCCTGAATAGCATAAAACATTTTAACACCGCTGTTATATTTTTTTAGAGCTTTTAAACTCGAGTCATAGGAGTTTAAAACGGCGCCTCATGTATATTCATGACGTCAGTGAGCGCGAACAGCCAATAAGCTGCTGCGCTCGCCAACCAATCATCACGCTCTAGCAGTAATGTCCGCCTTCTGCTGCCCAAAACCCGTTTGCTGTAGAAAAAAGGAAATATATAGGTAAGATTTCTTTGCCTTTTTAGTGAAATACATCCTTCTACTTTCTAAAATTGAAGGAAAGTTCTGGTTCAGTGATTAGAAACTATACTACCTGTTCGTTTTTGCCGTTTAGCTCCATTTACTCCCATTCATTGAGGACTCGCTCGCGGGCGCCCTCTGCTGTTTAGCAGTCCCGTTTTTGATATAACGGGGGAATAGGAAGTGGCCTCATAAACCAGCTCTGACGAAGCCATTTGAAACTCATGTTGTCGCAGTGGTTAAATGAGAGAATGCTGCCATCTAGTGTGCGATTTGACTCAACCCCAATGAGACTATAAGGAACTTAACATGCAGGTAGGATTGTCTACTCCGTATTATTCAATTCTCTAATAATAACAACAACAACAACAATAATCTCGCACAGTGAAAGAGATAACATTCTCTTATAAAACTCTGTTTGTGGCCTTTATTCATGTTTTTATGTATTAGTTTACCGTACTTTACTACCGTACTATCGTACTATTTCATAGGAGCCCAATCCAGCACACACTGTCCAGCTGAAAAACAAACTGTCCAGTCTCTGACTCTATAAACCTCTTCATAAGATGCTCAGAAACGTTGCACGTAAATTATAACTTATGTATGGCTAACACCGTGTCTTAACAGCAAGTGACAACGACAAAATCAAAACGCTCCCATTATAAGCAATGAAGCTGCGTATCTACATCAATGCGGAGCGACGCTCTGCCATTCCACCTCAAATGGAAGAAGAGAAACTAATCCATGAAGTGGAGAAGAGAGGACTTCAGCAGTAAACAATCTGGAGAGAAGCTGCCAGAGTGCTGGAAGAGGTGAGTACCGTTTGCTTTGTATTAGCTAAGTAGGCTTAGAAAGAGTTACAACCGAGCTGCTTACGTTTTGACTCCACATCACGCCTAGACAGGAAGGCGCTGCTTAGTGATGGGGAGTCGACTCCAAGAGAATCGATTCTTCTGTGGGAGGCTTAAACCGGCTGTGAACCCAGCACCCCTTTCGCTTTCTTCTTCTCTTGCTCTTCCTTCAGATAACGAAAGTAAGCGGTAGCGTCCATTTTAAGGGGTAAACTGTTATCGGAGTTAGCCTTCAGTGCTAGCTAAGTTATTATTTAACGTTACGTGAGCGGCTTCTGAACAAGTATACAGACTCAGAGGCTGGACTGGGTTAGTATGAAATCATCTTGTAACTCGCCGCACTTGCTAGTCGACTGTGAGAGAGCACGGTAAGATAAGACAAAACACGAATAACATGCCATAACGTAATCATAAACGGACGAGTGTGCCAGTACGTTCTAGTTTTTTCTTTCACCTTAAGGTGGCAGCAGTACCGTAAAACCACAGTGTAATGCACTTTCAGCTTTCTTCTTTGACTAGACCTGGAGCTTCATTTACTGAACGGCATGTAGTCAAGACTACAGCTATAAAGGACAAACCTAACATTGAAAACCGGTGCATTTTCACAGAGAGCCAATGCAAATGCGAGTGCCTCACGTGTCAAAAGACTGAAATGAGTATTTAGGAGAGGGCAGAGAAACTAAAGCAACTGCAATTTACCCAGGTCTAACATCACCAACTGTTAAAATTCAGTAGCTCAGTAGATAAGGTTAACAACTTAAGGTTGAACAAAAACTAGCTATTTATGCTATTCTAAGAGATTATCTTAGCGACAATATTAGATGTTGGCTGAATCTCCGTATTTCCCATGTAGTGCACTATGTAAGTCATAAATTAACAGCTTCTTTACTCAAAAAGCACATTATATGTCTAATAGAAAGTCATTTGAGTACAGCCCTGGGCTGCATGACTCTCTATTTAACATTTAGTGCACTATTTAGGTGTAGAAGGCATAGTTTAATGACCTAGTTTAAAACCTATATTATATTCTATATTAAAATAGAACAAAGACAACATACCAAATGTTGAAATTGGGAAATTTTATTGTTTTTTGAAAAATATTTGCCCATTTTGAATTTGATGCCAGCAACACGTTTCAAAAAAGTTGGGACAGGGGCAACAAAAGACTGGTAAAGTTGTGTAATGCTAAAAAAAAACACTGGGTTGTTATTTGGCAACAGGTCAGTAACATGATTGTGTATAAAATGAGCATCTCAGAGTCTTTCAGAAGTAAAGATGAGGAGGGGTTCACCACTCTGTGAAAGACTGCATGATCAAATAGTGCAACAATTCAGAAAAAACGTTTCTCATAATGAGAACACTGCAATGAGGTGGCACTGCATTAACACCGGACATGATTCTGTAGTGGAAATCGCTGCATGGGCTCAGGAGCACTTCCGATAACCACTGTCTGTTCATGGCTGCATCCGCAAAAGGTTCAGTGCTGTGAAAGGTATTTGCCCCCTTTTCAATTTCTATTATTTTTGCATATTTGTCAAACGTGAATGTTTCAGATCATCAACCTACTTTTAATATTAGACAAAGGACCTGGACAACTTGTTATAATTGATGGAACCATGAATTCTGTTCTCTATCAGAAAATATAGAAAGGCTTAAAAGAAATAAAATTAAGGTTTTTTAGTGGCTGATTCAAAGTCCTGACTTGAATCCCATTAAGATGCTGTGGCGAGACCTTAAACTGGCAGTTCATGCCTAAACACCCCGGTGTAGCTGAATTAAAACAATTCTGCAAAGCAGAGTGGGCCAAAATTCCTTCATAGCGATTTAAAAGACTCATTGCAAGTTATCACAAATGTTTGATTGCAGCTGTTACTGCCAAGGCTGGCACAACCAGTTATTAGGTTTAGGGAGCAAGTACTTTTTCTCATGGGTGATATAGGTTTTGAATAAATCTTTATCTTCAGTAAATGGAATGATCATTTAAAAGCTGCATTTTCTGTTTACTCATTTTGTCTTTATAACTAATTAAAATTAGTTGGATGATCAGAAACATTTTAATGTGACAATTTGGCAAAAATAGAAGAAATCGAGTGAGGGGCAAATACTTTTTTTACAGTACTGTAAGTTAAAGCTCTACTATGCAAAAACACAACATAAAAACAGGATCTAGAAACGACACCGCCTTCTCTGGGCCTGAGCTCATTTAAGATGGCCTGATACAAAGTGGAAAAGTGTCCTGTGGTCCAATGAATCAAAATTTGAAATTCTTTTTGGAAATCATGGGCACTTTGTCCTCCGAGCTAAAGACCACCTGGTGTGTTATCAGCGCACAGTTCAAAAGCCAGCATTCATGATGATATAGGGGTGCATTAGTGCACATGGCATGGGTGGCTTGCACATTTGTGAAGGTACCATTAATGCTGAAGAATATATAAAAGTTTTGGCAACATATGCTGCCATCCAGACAACGTCTTTTTCAGGGAAGGCCTTGCTTATTTCAGCAAGATGATACAAAACCACATTCTGAACGTATTACAACAGCATGTCTCTATAGTAATAGAGTCCAGGTGTTAAACTGGCCTGGCTGCAGTCCAGATCTGTCACCAACACTTAGTGTTGGTAAAAGAAGAGGTGATGCAACACAGTGGTAAACAGTGATAAACATGCTCCCATCCCTACTTTTTTGAACTGCGTTGCTGGCATCAAATTCAAAATGGGTATATAATTTTCAAAAAAACAATAAGATTTCTCACTTTCAACATTTGATAGTTGTCTTGTAATATTTTAATTAAAATAGGGTTTACATGATTTGCATATCATTGCATTCTATTTTTACTTAAATTTTGCACAGCATCCCAACTTTTTGGAAACAGGGTTATACTTGAGAGGGGTTAAATCCTTCTAGGATGTCTGTAAAATGTGTCGTTTTACATCAGTACATTAGGGTGCCCTTTCTCTTTGTCTTGTGTGGCTAAAGCGCAGTGGACCAAGGGCAAAAAGACAAAACAATATAAGAATAAAGAATGTAGATACGTTTACAGTAACATTAACATTACAATATAACATTAACATTACTAAAACATTACTAAAATGCTTAAATAATGTCATTTGAATTTAATAAGTTATATATGGTTTAAAAATAGGTTTGTTGTCTCATTTGCTGATGGATTGGGATTAGACAACTTTCTGGAGGGCCAGAAATGTCGTCACTGGCCAACTCATTGTTTGGCCAGTGTTTCCCAACCTTGTCCTTTGTTCTCCGTGATGTAATGAGACAACATTATGTAGGCATTTGACAATTAATATTTTATTTATTTACTTTTGGCAACATTTGGTTCCTTTTCCTCATTTTTCACATTGTCAAAGATTGCATCTCTCACATAAAAATACACAGAAATCACAGATTTCATTGTATTGAAAGCAACTTTTTGTCTTTAATGAGTGCTGTTCTGATTATATGAACTATCTGATTATTTAGACTTGTTTAGTTTGTATGTGAGCTTTATTATCATTAGAAAGTTGATGATCAGAGACATTAATTCATTTAAATGTGAATGCCTGTCTTTCAGAGAAGTATGAAAAGGCAAGAATCAAAGCAAGATGAGGAAGTTAAAGATGATTTTGCAAAAAGGCCCAGAAGAACCTCAACAGAGTCAGAGGTTGAGGTGGTAAGTGCTGTTATTTTTTCTCAACCTTGACTTACTTCCAGTTCAAGTTTCTTCCTTTTTACTTAAAAAGCCATGATGCAGCCAGATCATTTGAGACTGAAGAACAAGAGGTGCAGGACATTCTTACTTCACAGCTTTGGTTTTTGTCCAGATTTAGACAGATAACTTTGGAATCCTGCTGTGTGAGATAATCTCTGCAAGAACTGTCACTGACTTCACTAATATGACAGCTCACCTACTTAACATCATTACCAGTCTAAACGTCCAGTTTTTAAGCAGCAGTACTGTTTAGACTTAAGGCATTCTGTCTTCCTATTATTGGTGTAACGATACATTCAGCCCACAGTTTCATTCGATTGATACAGGGTTCATGATTTGTTAGTAGTAATATGGTCTTCTCTAAATAAATTGCCATCTTTCAGTTATTAGCTTACTTTCAATGTCTATATGTAGCATGTTAGTCAAAGATTATGAGCTGGTAACTTATAATTTATCAGTAATTTGTCTAAATTCATAATGACCAAGCATGTGTAGTAAATGCTAGTAAAAAGGTCACATTTGCTACAATGCTATAAACCCTTTAGGAGATATGTCCGATTTTACCAGTGATTGCAAAAACGTCTTTGCAAGGGTAATTTTGCCTTCAGTTTCTAGGTTTTAGGGCTCTCCTCATTGAAAGACGCAGGAGTCTGGTCTTTTATGACTGAAAATATCCCTTATAAATAAGTCCTTATAGGAAGATATGTTCACTCAGCAGCCATCTCTGTGTAGCAGACTGTAGCAGTAGTTGAGATCATGCACACATGCCCCAGAAAGTGGAGATCTGATGGTTTATTTCTGAATAAAAGTAGCATGGCGCACAGTAAGCTCACACAGCCAAAACAGCTGCTTCCCACTCCTCGTACAAGCATCCACTATGCTTCTCCTGTGTTCGCAAAAGCTGTACACAACAGGGCCACTAGAGGGAGCTGGGAAAACATATGAACAAAAATATTTACATTAATACAATTTAAAACACACTTGTGATCGTGTAGTGCCTTAGCAAACATATTAGACATTTCATTTGAACCCATATTACAATCACACAAAGCATAAACATACTTGAATCAAAGTAGCGTGGGGCACAGTAAACTCACACAGTCAAAAATAGCCCTCTCCCACTCCTTATTCATCACTGAAAAATGTGACTGAACTAAACATCATCAGTTTCATTCAGATGTAACATTAAATCACCACATATTGTTCCAAACACCTTCTATGTCCCTAAGGTTTGCATTTTACATGTAGTTTGAGCAAGATTCATGACTTTTATAGGCTTATTAAGACCTTTCAGAAAGTTTTAGTGAAGCTCACATTACAAATATCCCAAAATTATCATTGGCAAAAACAATTAAAGAAAAAGTAAATTATAAAAATAATAATATCTAAGCTGCATTTGCAATGCCTCTGGACTGTTATTTCCAGCCATGCAAGACCAGACTCATATCTCTTTGAATGGCGATGTTGACAGGCTGTTTGTTTTTGTTCTAGTCAGGAAAACCGGCTTCACCTGTTCCTAGCTGTGCGTCTATGAAGAGTGATGCATCCATGGACAAAAAAATGACACAGATCAAAAAAAAAAACATGAAATATAGTGTTTTAAGTAAAATAAAATTAAAGAGATACCCAGAGTTCCACAGTTTAAAAGAATAATAACTGAAAGATGCTTCTCCACGTTTTCTGTATTTTACAGAAGGTATTTGCTGAAGGTCAGTATCTGCAGATCTAAGATCACGTGCTGGAACATAGACAGATATTCTGTGATGTAAGCAGTGCTTTAAGGTCATTTAGAGCCTTAAAAACTAGTGGCAGAACTTTCAAACTTATCCTGAAAGATACAGGTAGCCAGTGCAGTTGTTTCCAAATGGGAGAAATTACAGTGATCAACACTGCTTGTAACAAATGCATGAACAAGTTTCTGTGCGTCGCAGAGATAAAAAAATGCTGAACTTCAGCGATATTTCTTAAATGATAAAAAGCTACTTTAGTGACTGCATTTACATTCGAGATAAAAGATCACACACTGGTTTCATACTTCAGGTTTGGTGTATGAATCTAAAGAGTGGAGCTTTTCATAAAGTAGCTTTCTCTAAATTTTAGTACCAAGGATCAGTATTTCAGGTTTTTGCGATTTAGTTGTGGAACATTTTGTGACATCCACTGAGAAAAATAGGAAACGCAGCTGGTCAGTCTGTCTACGGAGTCTTGATCATCAGAAGGAATGGAAATGTATAATTGTGTATCATCAGTATAGCTATTTGAAAATTGATATGTTTCCTAATAGCATCACCAGAGGTAACATTTACAAAGAGAAAAGCAAAAGCCCTAAACTGAGCCTTGTGGGACTCCACAAGAAATGTTACTAATGTTACTGTTTTTTTTAATGAATGATTCAGCAGTGAAACTGTGTCTATTAACTAAATATGATTTACACCATTCTAAAACTGTGCCTGAGAGGCCGACCCTGTACTCAAGATTACAATCTTTTGATCAACGGTATCAAAAGCTGCACTAAGATCCAATAAGGCCAGAATAGAAGGATTTTGTGCATCAGTGCTGAGCCTGAGGTTATTCACAACACAAACCTCAGTACTGTGGTTAGAACGAAAACCTGACTGAAACTTCTCATATAACTTGTTTGATGTTAGATACACATTTAATTGTTTGAAAACAACTTTTTTAAGACTTTACCTTTTTGTAGGGGCTGGAAAGTGTCAGTATTCTTTTTAAAAATGTCTCCTCCTCAGTCTCCTCAGTATAGCTAGATCTCTCTTCTGTGCTGGGTTTATTTGTTTTTGTTGTAAAAGGCACAAGAGGGAAATCTGTCACGACAATGCATGAATGCATTACTTTTCCTCTGAAACAAAAATGTTTGCAGTGTAACATTTGAGGTGTCAACAAGCAGTTTATCCGCTAAAGCTGAAGTTTTCGACATTCATAAAATATTACAGACAGTTTTGTTTCCACAGCCTACGAAACTAAACTTTTTGAAGTGTTAAAAAGTTCTTTGTAATTGTCTATTGTGGCGCTGTTTATGTGCGCTTATCTTGTAAATGAGATATTTTCAATACAGCTTAAAGGCGGCATGATCTCTGGTAAAGCGGTATCAGTGATAGTATTTCAAGCTGTCTACAATAATAATATTGAGTAGCATATTGTAGTATACCTTCTTATTGAATAATGTCTAGTCAAAATGTAAGAACTGCAGGGAACATCTTTAATCAAATTTGTGTGGTTGCAATTTTTTAATATGAACATTGCAGTCATAATTTGTGATAATCATCATTAACCTACTTTCTCAGTTCCTAAAGACTAGAAATTAATTAGCTCATGAAGAAATGGCTCCTCAGTGAAAAATAACCATCACTGAGGGTTCTGTAGGAGCTAGAGGCACATTCTAATGATCACAGTAAAAAATAAGTGGACAGTTTGTGTAAGCTACCACTTTTCTGAATTTCTGAAGCACTGACATGGTACATGGTATGCAAGTTCAGATTGAGTCACTGTACTGAGAAATGGAATGCCTGTTACCTTTCTACTGTTTTGATACTTAACTTTATATTACTACTTAAAACCAGTAAGATGATTTAGGCTATCAAAAAATCCTTTTTTCTTTTGAAGCTGGTAACATTTTCTGGCAGGGTGTTTTAGACCAGTGTTTTTGAACCCTGGTCCTGGAGGCCCACCGCTCTTCACTTTTTACCGCTTTCCCTGCTCCCAGCACACCTGATCCTAAAAATCAGCTCAATAACAGCCCATTATTGAGTTAAGGAGTCTGTGTTAAAGCAGGAAAAGCACTAAAATATGCAGGGCATTGGGCCTCCAGGACCAGGGTTGAGAAATACCGATTTAGGTTGTCAAAATATACTATCCACAGATTTCAAAACTGGTGGTATTTTCTAATAGGGTGGTTTAGGCTATTTAAATATCATACCTTTAGTTTTAATGCTGGTAATGTTTTCTGATACTTTGATGTAGCCTTCCTGTAGTTTTGCTGCTCGTAGTATTTTTGATACAATGAGATGATCCATCAAAATATCCTTCCTACAGTTTTATGTAGGGAGCTACCTATTAACATGCACTCTGGCAGGACACTCTGACAAGGTATCACAATTCTTCAAAATATCAGCCCATCGGGAATCCTCCAACTCTCCCAAATACCCACACTGGCATTGCTACCGAGAAAAGAAAACAGTCTTCTCAAGCCAGGTGTACATAATTTGACCTCACCTTTAAGCAATGCTTATTTTTAATGGAACATGTATTGATAAACTGTCTATTTTTGTTCTAGTCAGGAAAACCAGCTTCACCTGTTTCCAGCTGTGCATCCATGAAGAGTGATGCATCCATGAACTGGCAGGACAAGTTTTGCCAAGGACAAACAAGCACTGGAAAAAGGTCTGTAATGCAAAAATCTAAGACAAATATAATACTGCACTTAAATAAACTGTCCCTCTATTTATTTACTAGTCATTCTCTGTTTACCTTCATTTGTTTACTAATAGATATTACTGTGTGAGTGTGTGTATGCATGCATGCACACATTAAAAAGGCTTTAGAGGCACAAAGAATTCAAAGGCTTACACCACATAACCTTGCAATTTCAGTTTAGAAGTATCAGATCATAGTGAAATGTTGTCATACTATACAATGAGTACACTGGAGTACACACTGGAGATGGCAAAGTAACCTTTTTATTTTCAGATACCAGTACCAGTACTGAACCCTCAAGCATTGGCTGAAAACAAAAAGCTTAAAAAATTAGCATCTTAATAAAGATGCTAACCCTTAACAGTAAGCATCTTCATTAACAGTCTGCATAATAATGAGAATGAATTCTATGAGAGGTCTTAATAGATGAGCAGGGCCCCTTTTTACAACAACAACAAAATGGAAGTTGCACCTGTTTTAGAGGTCCCTCATTTGAACGATGCATTTCTTTTCTTCAGTAACATTGATAGAATGTATTCTAATGGAAATGTGCATGATTTACAAAACAGAAAGTGAATTCTTCTCATTGTCGTAGGTGAGAAAGAAAGTCAACGTTTCTGAAAGGTTTTTATTGCAGTTTTTTTTTTCTTTTTTTTTTATAATCGAGAAATTCGAAGTTGCCGTCTTTGTGGAGAAATGTTAATTGTTTTCACAGCAGGGCCTCTCAATGATTTTATTAATTAAAAATATTCATATTTGGATTGGGTGATATGGAAATAATATCACAATACTTAAAGACATTTTAACAACACATAATACATACGATATTCTGATTCTGATGTACTATTATTGACACATTTTAAAAAACAACCGTCAAAAACACTGGGTACAATGATTTTTATTTAAGATTTCACAGACTGTGCTACATTAAATCCAGTTAAACAGGATTAATTGTACTCTCCTACTAATGAAACTTGTCGATGATCAGTCTGTATCCTCAGAAACAACAAAACAACAACAAAATTAATTAGAAAAACAATTAAATGTTGTCATGTTGCCTGCCTCAGATTGGTTTCATTTTCCCAATGGAATGGCCGCTAGGTCTACTATGCCATTTGAACACTTGCATTAGCTTTTTAAATGATTTTGAAGCTTTTTAATGAGGTCTTTTTGTGTTTTCTGGTTATAGTGCTGAAACAGGGAGACCACAGTCACCATCTCCTAGCTTTATCTCTATGAAGAGTAACAAGTCACTAGACCGACCAATAAAGTTCAACCAGGGAGAAAAGAGCAGTGGAGAAAATTGGCCAACCTCAGCAACAGCACTACAGGGATACACACTGCGAGACACCTCTGAACACCAGGAGGGGACACTCTGCCCAGAGCACAACATGCCTATGGAAGTGTTCTGCAAGACAGACCAGACCCTGATCTGTAAACTGTGCCCAACTCCAGAACACAGAGGCCACAAGAGAAGATACATGAAAAGAGACAGAGTAAGAGAAATCAGCTGCTTAGATTCAAGAATTATTGTATAGTTATGCAGTACATGCCAACTATATGTTTTATAGGGTGCACATAGGCACCAACTACGATTTAGGGGAGGGGATGGGAGGGCATTGGGTTGTTGGGTTCTTTCTGCCGCACTCTGGGAAATCCCAAAGCCATTCCACCAAATATAACAACTACAGATGGATATTACACATGTAATAGGTCCTGCCTGTCGGGTATTTACGGTAGATACACTACTTCAGTATGTACAGTTGTAGTAATAATATGGCTGCATGCAGTAGTTTGTGTTGAGCACAGCCTGCACAGCCTGTCAACACCACAGAAGATTCCCTGGCATCCTTCAGGAGTCAGTGAATGTGTCCCTGAATGAAATCATTAATGATAATCAATCAAATCAAATGTCTGTCATTATGACATAAATTTAAAATTTTAGTTTATTATTTTGACCCCACAATATTGTATCAGTAATCCCAGAGAGTGACATGGGATGACCTGTGATAATTTCATGTAGTGACAGAGGGGTATGTTTGTTAGTTGAAGCTCTGATGTGACAAAGCACAGCAAGTAAGGCATCCACCCATGTCCTTTCAATCTGACCTAATGCTTGAGGTCCAAAGGGACAATGAAGATGCCACTTTATTTCCAAAAACCTTGCAAATACTTGACAAACCTACCCAGTAAAGTGAGTTCTTTGATCACCTTTGAGAGACCCCACCCCAAGAATAAAATCTTTATATTTAGCATTTAGCAGTATGCAGCGCTGTACCTTTAGTAGTGGAATGTGCTTCAACCCATCTTTGCACTCCTCACTTCACTTAATGGCATGTACGAGGTTGCTCTTAAGATGCTCTTAAGGTTTGTTTATGTAGCGCTTTTTAAAACAGGCATTGTTGCAAAGCTGACAAAGAAGTCCTGTCCTTTGGATGGACCAAACACTGTCTTAGTGTATTCATGGGTTTAAAAAAAACAGGGATGCATTTGGCCTCAGAAGGTGTAGATAACATCTTGGCCCAATATTGCAAAGTTCAAATCACCCACAGTTTTTTTTCCAGTAGGTGATGGGAGTCAAACATAACATCAGTGTAGGTGGGCTTTTGGCATATCTCCACTTGCAGGTTCCCCTCTTCTCCCACCTTTATGGCACAATCTAGAAAAGGAAGCTTGTTCTCACTCATCTCCTCCCTAGTGAACTTTGTTTTTATCCACTGAAATAATATTATCTGTAATATCCCTTGTATGTGTTCAACGTCTTACTCTCTGCTTCTTCCATATAGTGGTAGGCCACAATGGGAGACATTGGAAAACCCATTGAGTTGTGTTTTGTCACTTAATGTGTAATCCTGGCTCAATCTCTTCTTCAGTCACCAAGACATTTTAGACAATTGTATGCTTCTATATTTGTGGGAACAGTTTGGGGAAGGCCCTTTTCTGTTTCAGCATGACTGAGCCCCAGGTCCATAAAGGCATAGTCTGACCAGATCGGGTGACGGTCAAATGTAATCTTAAAAGTATCCATTTTCGCAAAGTAAGAAGTAAAAACATTCAAATGGGTTGAGCGTCTCCTACAGCTGTCAGTCATTGCTTAGCAATGGCGTCTCAGCGGAGTGATATAGTGTTTGTGAAAAAAACGTTTGCTGTTATGGCAAAATAACAGTACAGTTAGAACGGTTCTCAACCAGTCAGCTTGCGTGGCCGGAACTGAGTGTTCTGGTTACAAACATATACCACATGCACAATATTGAATAGCATATAACACAGCAGTACATTCCTTTAAAACTAAAGCTAGCTAAATAGGTTGAGGTCAGCATTTTTTCACTGCCCACTGGCTCAGAAATGTCCTTAGTTTCCTTAAGTAGTTTTTTTATTCTTGTCTTCTCGGTGCAGTCTTGGTTTTTGTTGCTGCTATCCATCCTCACATGATTAAAGTAAAAATTAATGAACTTAGCTTCTTATTTGAATGTCTGTTCTACTATAAATAATGCAGTTGTTAGTTGCTAGGGGTTGCTGGTTTACCGGCCTAAAATGTGCAAGGCATTGTGCCTCCAGGACCAGGTTGGGAAACATTGATTGAGGCTGACCTATTTATATGTATGTATAGGTAAAATATCCTACCTATGCATTTCATTACTGGTAATGTATTCTGTAATTTAGGCTATTTAAGTACCCTGCATTTTAATGCTGATAGCATTTTCTGATAAGGAGATGTCGGCTATCAAAATATCCTACCAGTAGTTTTGCACTATGGCAGGACATTTTGACAAGGTAGCACAATTCATCAGAACACCAGCCCCCTGGGAATTCTTCTGACTCTTCTGATTACCCACTCTGACATTGTCTCCAAGAAAATAAAACAGTCTCCTCAAGCTGGGTGTAGATAGTTTGACCTTCCCTGCACGCAGTGCTTATTTTCAATGGAACATATATTGACAAGCTGTTTATTTTTGTTCTAGTCAGGAAAACCAGCTTCACCTGTTTCCAGCTGTGCATCCATGAAGAGTGATGCATCCATGGACTGGCAGGACAAGTTTTGCCAAGGACAAACAAGCACTGGAAAAAGGTCTGTAATGCAAAAGTTTAAGACATATATAATGATACACTTAAACATTTTTTCAATAGTTATATTTTACCTATTTACCTATTTTACTTAAGTGTGTGCATGCCTATATTAAAAAAGGCTTTAGAAGCACAGAATTCAGGTCATTGTGAAATATTGCCATTGTCAAAACATTACAAAGGGTATTCTATTACAGAGTAGATTTCATTTTCAGATACCAGTACCAATACTGAACCCTCGAGCATTGGCTGATACCAATACCGTTCCGACATTGTCAGTGCTGTTTAAATACTGACAATATCCTCAGAAAAGCACAGTGTTTATCATGATAAAAAAGTTATCAGAATAACAATAAAATATTGTTATATTGACCATCTCTAATTAAAATTGATTTCATTTAGCTGGTGGAATGGCCAGTAGAGAGCTGGCATTAGCTTTTTGAAGTCTGAAAAGTGATATGCAAAATACATTAAAAAAGGTCATCTTTATTAGAAAAGTTGTGATGATTTAATTAATTTAATGAGGTCTTTCTGTGTTTTCTGGTTATAGTGCTGAAACAGGGAGACCACAGTCACCCTCACCTAGCTATATCTCTATGAAGAGTAACAAGTCACTAGACCGACCAATAAAGTTCAACCAGGGAGAAAAGAGCAGTGGAGAAAATTGGCCAACCTCAGCAACAGCACTACAGGGATGCACACTGCGAGACACCTCTGAACACCAGGAGGAGAGACTATGCCCAGAGCACAACATGCCTATGGAAGTGTTCTGCAAGAGAGACCAGACCCTGATCTGTAAACTGTGCCCAACTCTGAAACACAGAGGCCACAAGAAAAGCTACACAACAAAAGCCAGGGTAAGAGATCAACTGCTTAGATCCAAGAAATATTGCGTAGTAATGCAGTACATGCCTAGCTATATGCTTTATAGGGTACACATAGGCACCAACTATTGTTGGAGGGTGGGAATGGAGGCATTGGGTTTTTCGCATACCCCCAAAACTAAAGAAGGGGTGGAAACACCTCTTCAATTATAGTGTTAAGCTGGAGAAAAGCTGTGGTAGTATAACTGCACAGTACAGTCTGAGAATAGCTGCTATAGTGAAACCACTCTTAGCAGTAGAGTGTTTAAGTTTCAGGGTCACTACGGCAACCAGAAAAACTGTTGTTTTCCACATGCACGTTTCACTCATGAGCTCTTTCCCTGTCACACAGGGTTGCTAGACTCATCATTTTCCTGACATACCTAGCTGGTTTAAAAGTACACCGCAGGTGGATTTTTATAGGGTTGCGGGGTGTGTTTTTGTTTGGACTACTTTCGACATGTCATGCAGCCATGGAAAATGGCTTGAAATAGATAACATCAGTTTTTGAGCATATATTAATCCTAATATGGAATAACTGGCAACCCAAAGACCCACAGATACATACAGTAAGAGAAGCGGCAGAACACTGTGGCTCCTTTGGTTGCATCGCTGACCATTGATCAGAGGAGGCGCACACATCATGTTCTCCGAGATAGGTGGCGACTCCGCCTCTTCACTGCCTCCCCTCGGAGCACAGCCACCAAGGTTGAAGGTGGGGCAAGACCTGGCGGCTGGCCTCAGACCAAGAAAGCAGGGTGAGAGAAGTGCTGTCGCCACTGTCAAGCCTTGGGCTGGCTTTGTCCCATCCTTTGAAGCCCCAGGCAGCTGTGTGGGCCTCACTTGTAGTACCCAAGGGCCATCCCAGACATTAGGGAGTGCTATCAACATGGAAGGTTGCTCCTTGACACTCTTCAGGACTTCAAGAGGCATTTTCAACACACAATCTCAATAAAGGAGGTTCCCTGGCATCCTTTAGGACACCTGACAGCCTTGTCGATACTGAAGGAGAATCTCTGTTGTCCCCCAAAACACAAGATGGCACTGTCAACACAGGCGGCTGTTCCAGGACGCCCTCTGGGACACCTGGCAGCACTTGCAATGTGGAAGGAGACTCTAAAGTGCACTTGGCGGCATTGTCAGTATAGGTGGCAGCTCTGGGGTGCTCTCATGATCACCTGGTGACACTGTTGGCAAGGGAAGTGACTGTGCCCAGGCCTAATATCTAAATTAAATCAGAACAGAAAGAGTCCCAAACAATTAAAGGAACTAATAAGCAAGTCCAATCAATATATAAGAAAAGCTTTGAGGTGCACAGGCACCCGAAGCTGGCAGCAAGATGAGCCTAGGGGAGCAAGGGGTAGGCCGGGAGATGGGCCTTGAGGGGTAGGAATACGCTCCACTGCGCCATCACATTAAGTGTGGTAGGGCGACTTATGAGGTTTGTGAATTGACATCAGACTACAAAGGTGCTTAATGAGGTCAGACTCAAATTGTCATCCCTGATCTGAGTGCAGAGCTTCAGGGACACCACGCTGAGGAATGTATTGTTTTAAGATGCAACGTGCCACAGAAACAGCTGTTTGAGTCTGCAGTTGGTAGATGTTGACAGATTTCATGTATAGGTTTGTCAGAACCAAAACATTACGGTTGCCCTTGGACACAGGAAATTCTGTGACATCAGCAGCCACAATTTGAAATTGTCGGCTAGGCAAAAAGCGGGATCAGTGTAGCCTGGGAACGGAACACAGGGGAACGCTGTGACTGACATGCAGCACACTGTCAGCAATATTGAGAGATGTCCGAGGACATGTAGGGCCAGTAGAAGGACCATAAAATCCTGGCCAGTGTTTTAGCCAAGCCATAATGTCCTGCAGCAGGGTGCATATGAAAGAAATGGAACACTTGAGGCACCAGTAGTCGAGGGACAACCACCTGGTTGAGGTGACCGCCTGAAAAGGAGCAATATACCTGTCTACATAAAAGGACATTATATAGTGTCATCCACACAAAGGAGTGGGTGTGCATCCTTAATCTTAACTGCATTAAGCCAGCGGCAATCCACGCAAAAAATGGAATGATGGATAAGATCAGTTTGGCCACAATCATTGGGGTGGGAGCTGAAAACATCATCAAAATCTTTCAAAAAGCTCTCAAGCTGTGGTATTTCACTTGTACTCAGGCACGTATTACATAAATCTACCTTTAGAGTGAGACAATTGGAGGTGCTGGACGTGGTAATGGCTGAGACTAATGTGTACTCCTCTTGTGACCAGCCTGAGAGGGAAAACACCTGGCCTAAGGGGCATCCTCTTCCATGGAAGACTGGTTCTGAGTAGAGGTTGACTACCCTAACTACTCCTTGTCCATCATGAACTGTCAGTAGTGTCCTAGCAACAGCTAAAGTTGAAGGGGCATGTGGTTCAACAATGCCTATGTAAGACTCACAATGCCTATATAAGACTCACATGCCACACTGCTTTTGCCACTGTTAATGCAGACCGCAATCACCATTTCAGACAGAGGAGGCAGCAAAAGCTACAGTAGTCTGAAGTCTGTAGTCTGAACACTGGCAATGTGTATCATAATGACGAGGAAGAGAGTGACATGGTCTTTGAAGTGGACCAGAGCTGTTGTCATCGACTCCAGATGATGGAGATTGATGCCAAGGTGGTGAGAAGAAAGTGCTCACAAAGTGGTCGTCGTTCTCTGTTGGGAGCCTGCAACTATGCTCGTCCACACTGGGCTGCTACTTTCAATGTGGCCTCCAAGGTGACCGCCCCATGTTCATGAATTTTATGCTGAAGGGGCAGGTCTAAACCAGTCACAAAACTGTTTTGTGACTACCTCTGGGCCATACTGGGGAAAAGCCTCAGCTCTTAAAAAATTAATTTTTTTACATTGCTAAACGGACTGAGTCTTACCAACAAAAGATTAAATACTGAGGAAAGGTATGTGCTTAACGACTAGTATATTTTTCTTTTAAATAGTAAAATAACTAAAACTGGTATGCCGTGTGTTGTTTCTCAGACATTAGCCCAGTGTAAGTACTTTAATGTTTTAAACAACTCGTGAATCTCCAAGATTTAACTTACCTAGCCAAAGTGGGCTTACTTATGTCAAATCTGATAACAATTCCATTGATTTATACCAGAAAAATGAGTTTAAGCAGGAAAAAAGTAGCACACATTCAACTAACTGGCAGCCCAGCAAACATTCAAACTGTGCTCTTTCCCTGTTTATTTACTTTTAGAAACATAAGAGTCCTTCACAGAATAATCCAGAGAATAAATTAAACAGAATTAAACATGTAGAACATTTATGAACACGCTACAGTAGGCCTATTTTGCTGCGTGGTGTGTGCAGCTCCTCATCTACTTTCTAAATATCATTTGCTTCAGTGCCCAAAACGAATAACAGGTCATTCCACATTGCTTTCGCCTTGCAGACATACTGTTTCAAAATTTTTTTTTAAACTTAATAGTGATGAAAATTAACATTAAGAACAGATCACACACTGTTCTGCCATATGTGATCTACTCATACTATTATGGAACGGCAGCATTGCAAATCAAATTATCTCATCTTTTAACTTTCCTGCTTCAGCATCATCTCCAAAACAAATGTCTGACATAACATTACAACATCAATGTAATTTTTTTTTTTTGCCCCCACAATATTTAACCCAAGTTGGTGCCCATGATGGTACATCACATATTTTATAGACCAGCAGAGGATGCATCCAATGATTTAGTCAGTGATATTAGTTATTGTGTTAATTTAATTGCCATTCTGAATGATGGCCTTGGTCCAGCCACTAGCTGAAATTTGCAAGCACAGTGCTGCAAAGTGCTGCTTTTACATTTACTTTACTTTTTAAAAATGTCTGGTGTGAATGATGAATTATGAATTATTGTGTTTTAACTCCTCTTTTTGTGGTATGTGGCACAAAAATACATTTTCTATCAACCTGTTATTCTAGCTTTAAGGGAAAGGTTTGGCAAAACAACTTTAAACTATTTTCGACTTACTGCCGATGTAGTTGATCAGCCAAGACATGTTGAGTGTTCATATTTTGCTTCTTTAGTTTAGCCTTGAAGCTACATACATGTATACATGTATGGGAAAGTAACTGTTGAATTTTAGTGTTTGTTAGTAAATTAGCTTCGCTGTTCCAATGTTATCTTTACAGCATAACTTTCTGCACGCAAATCTGGTAATTTAACATGGAGAAACTGAAAAGCTCTGAAATGAGCTGCTATGCTCCAAATAAATCATCTTTAACAGTGTAATGCTTTTTGTTAAGTCATGAAGTGGTCTGTTTTTTGTATACAAAATCATGTTATCCCTCTAACAATAAAGACTCACAAGAAACTGTATATATATATGTATAAGGAGGGGCTTCCTTACCTTTAAACAGGTAAAGCATTCTAGAGACTACTGTGTCACTACTGTAGGAGGCGAGTAGGCGATGTTTACAGCAGATTAAATTTTTCACATAGGTCAAAGTGCCCCTTAAATCATTTGCTGCCATGTTTCTTGGTTACAGGTCCTCCAGGAGCTTGACACAGTGTGTTTACTTGAGCAAATACTACACAACATAGACAAGAATGAGTTCATGAATTATCTGTGTCAAAATTACCCCGAATGCTTTGAGTCTCCTCAGGATGCTCATGATGTCCATGAAGCATCTGAACTTGTCCTGGAGAGCTTTGGCTCAGAGGGTGCTCTAAAGATAGCTTTAAAGTTCATGCTGGAGAAAGGTAGGAGAAAATGTATTCTTCTGTGTTCTTCTGTGATTATGTTCAATATCTTTGAGATGTTATAGTCTGACTTTAGATAAAAAAAGGCACTGAAGTGTTTGAAGACAGAGCATTTGCAATATGCTTAATGCAGAAGATAACAGATACATCAAATGGGTTTGTTGTTTAAAATTGCAGCAATCAAACAATTTTAGAACTTACATAGCTCTTTTTAATTAGCATAAGAAACATGAAGAAACATGTCTGCTTTTTAGTCTTTATTTCTGCAGGTGAACCAGAAAATGCATATAAATGTTCCATGAAGGATTTAAAGAGAAATTCTAGATTTCAAAATTTCTCCTTAGTTCAGTCATTAAGATGTGAACATAGTCATTCAGAGTGGTGTGAAATGTACAGACGTTTCTTTACAGTGTTATAGGAACCAGGGTTGATGAAGTCTACAGTGCAAATATAGCAATTTTATTTTATGTCCAGAATGACCAATCTGGGGGTGGGGATGGGGGGAGAGGCTACATACAGGAATTGCTCTCCACCATAAATATATTTTTAAAAATATGTTTGAGGCCAAAAGCTTCTCTCAAAACTATCGGAAAATAGTGTCTCAGGTCGTTTCATGTAATAGATTTATGTGAGGTAGCTTTTAGAAGCATTAAATATTTCAGATGGCACCACCACTTTGAAAAAAAGCTGTCTTAGTGAGTTTTTCTAAAATGTACATTTTACATGATACCACTTTGAATGATCTGATATCTTAACCATATAAATAGGCAGAACTTTTGAGAAATCGGTAGAATTATTAATAGAATGATAGTTACACTAGGGATAAACAGGGTTATCTCATTATTACTGAATGTAATCTTCTTTCTGCAGGGAAAAACCTTAAGAACGTACAGGATCATCTTAAGTCTAAACTACAAGATCATCTTAAATCTAAATTTGAGTGCATACGTGAGGGAAATGCTCAACAAGCGAATCCAATCCCTTTAAATGAGATCTTCACAGAGCTCCTGATTACAGAAGGAGGGAGCGGAGATGTGAATATAGAACATGAAGTCAGGTTGATCGAGGAAGCATCAAAAAACAAAGGCATTCGAGAGAACGCAATAAAATACAACAACATCTTTAAACCTTTACCTGGACAGAGAAAACGCATCAGAACTGTGCTCACAAAGGGCATCGCTGGGATCGGGAAAACAGTCTCTGTGCACAAATTCATCCTGGACTGGGCAGAAGGGAAGGCAAACCAGGACATCGACTTCATGTTTCCACTCCCTTTTCGTGATCTGAATTTGAAGGAAAATGACAAATATAGCTTAATTCAACTTCTTCATCAGTACTTTCCAGAACTCAAAGAACTACAAACTATTAGGAGTGAGGAAGTAAAGACTGTGTTTATCTTTGATGGTCTGGACGAGTGCCGACTTCCTCTTGATTTCAAGAACAATGAAATGTGCTGTGACCCTACAAAGAAAACGTCTGTGGATGCGCTGCTAACAAATCTCATTCAGGGGAATATACTTCCCTCTGCTCTTCTCTGGATAACCTCCCGACCAGCAGCAGTCAGTCAGATCCCTCCTGATTGTGTTGACCAGGTTACGGAGGTCCGAGGATTTAATGATTCTGAAAAAGAGGAGTACTTCCGGAAGAGGTTCAGTGAACCAGGCCTTGCTGACAGAATTGTTGCACATATAAAGTCTTCAAGGAGCCTCCACATTATGTGCCATATTCCAGTCTTCTGTTGGATATCAGCCACAGTTCTGGAGAAAATGTTAGATAAACCAGACTGTGAAGAAGTGCCTAAAACTCTGACTCAGATGTACACCCACTTTCTTATTATTCAAACTCAAATGAAGAACAAGAAGTACCATGGAGTGATTAGGAACGATATACACATGACAAAATTGGACAAGGAGGTGATCTCAAAACTAGGAAATCTAGCGTTTCTGCAGTTGGAGAAGGGAAATCTTATTTTCTATGAAAAAGATCTGACAGAATGTGGTATAGATGTCAGCAAAGCATCCGAGTACTCTGCAATTTGCACAGAAATCTTCAAAGAAGAGTTTGGATTATACCGGGAGAAAGTCTTCTGCTTTGTGCACCTGAGCATTCAGGAGCATCTCGCTGCAGTGTATGTGCAACTCAAATTTATAAACAGCCACATAAATGTACTCAGTCAAGACCCAGAGAGCAATACCTTGAAGATGTCAGATTTGCACAAGAGTGCTGTGGACAGAGCCTTGCGGAGTCAGAACGGACACTTTGACCTTTTCCTTCGCTTTCTTCTTGGTCTTTCACTTCAATCCAGTCAGGTTCTTTTGGGAGATCTACTGTCAAAAAGTTGTGTGGAAAGCTTTGAGGAAACTGTGGACTACATTAAGGAGAAGATCAAAAATGAATCTTCAGCAGAAAGGGCCATCAATCTGTTCCACTGTCTGAATGAATTGAATTACAACTCGTTGGTGGAAGAAATCCAGAGTTTCTTGAGATCAGCCAGGCATTCTCAGACAGAGCTCCAACCTGACCAGTGCTCTGCTCTGGCCTATGTGCTGCTAACTTCAGAGGATGTGCTGAATGAATTTGACTTGAAGATGTACAACACATCTCCTGAAGGATATCGGAGGTTGTTACCAGTTGTCAGGACTTCAAGAAAAGCCATGTAAGTTTATGTTTTCTACTAAGTATCCTAGCCATTCCATAACTTCAATTCCAGAGAGAGTATGTCAAATGCTCAAAAAACAGAAAGCAGTGATTTGTAATCTACTTTGTATTTAAACTAAAACAATACAAGAAGACAGTATGTTCATGTTTTACTATATTAACTTACTTGTTTTAGTGAATATTTACTCATTCTAAAATTGATGACTGCAGCAAGTTCCAAAAAAAGTTGGGGCAATTAAAGACTAGGAACATTGTAAAATAAAAAAAAGCATCTTATGCAGGTGATGCAATCATGCTTGGGTATAGAAAGAGTATCTACAGAAAGCTTAGTCCTTTGTGAGCAAGGATGAGTCAGGGTTTGCCACTTTCTCAATGAGGAATTTATGGTATTTAAGCCCCTACAATGCATGGTATCATCAAAAGATTCAGGGTATTTGGAGAAATCTGTTTGTGTAAAGGGCAAGGCAGAAAACTACAGCTGAATGAATGTGACCTTCGATCTCTCAAGCAGCTCTGTGTTAAAAGTCAGCATCTCCAGTTCCTCTGGGCTTGAGCTCATCTGAAATGGACTGATGCATAGTGGAAACGTGTATTGTGGTCTGCTGAGTCGACCTGTCCGATTGTTTCTGGAAATAATGGAAGTCTTATTCTTTGGGCCAAAGAATAAAAGGACTATCCAGATTGTTACCAGCGTAAAGTTCAAAGGCCAGGGTCTGTCATAGTGCCCATGACATGGCTAACTTCTGTGAAAGCACTATTAACACTGTAAGATGTACATATTTTGGAGCAAGATATGATGCCTTCTCAACATAGTCTTTTTCAGGGACTTCCATGCTTACTTCAACATGACAACACCACACTACATTCTGCACGTGTTACAACAGCATTGCTGTATAATCAGAGAGTGCTGGTGCTAAATAAGCCTTCCTGTAGTCCAGACCTGTCTCCCACTAAAAATGTCTAGAGTTATTTTGAAGTGCAATTATAAAGCACAATATACAGCAATGAATGGTTGTGTAGTCTTGCATAATAGAAGAACAGTAAAAGTATTCTACTTTCAAAACTGAATCAATTGGAGTGTTCAGTCCCCATATGATTATTAAAAGTCGTTGAAAGGAAAGACTTGCGTGACCATGGACATGCGGGAGGTGTGCTTACATGTGCAGGCTCAAGGAAAGCGCCATGCTTCCATTAAGGAGAGACCTTAATCTGTAAGTTGTTGTTGTAGATGCTATTGTGGATGATGTGTTGTTTGTGTTATTCTGTGTCGGGTTGTGGGATAGTTTGTGGGTTTACTGCCTACTATTTACACAGAGTGTATGGCTAGAAGTAACCTGCCTGCTTCCTGGCCGTGTCAGCTGGCGCTGGGCGATGGTCCTCTGCTGCTGCTGTGTTCAATAAAAGTGCATTCACTTAATGCGCTATGTTTTCAAGAAGGATCTGGCTGCAGATGTGAACGCTCATCCTGACATGCACCGCCAGCATATTAATGTGCGTGCTCTGCCACGACAATGTTTTGTCAGTTTGATTAGCAAAAACAGTGAACCACATACTGTTGGGTAACATGAGTTACACAGAATGGACTTCGTTACAAATAGCTTTGTTACACCGATAATAATGGAATTAAATAATATGGGAATTCACAAAATAAAATCTACCACAAAGATAAGGCATTATGTCAGGTTTACTAGCAGAAAAAGCAAACAGGCTATTGCTGAAACTCATGAAAAATATATTAAATTGAATTCTCTAGCTATGTTATGTACAAAAAATGGATTAAATGATGATATGGTTATTGAGATAGAAAAAGAAAAACTATGATGATGATACTGCTTTAAGAATCCTTTGCTAAGCAGAAGCAGCCAAATGTTCACATGCTAAACTGTATTGATATTTTCTGTGTCTTCTGTTTTGCTGGGATACTACAATATTTGCAAAAAAAAAAATGTTCCTAAAGTAAATCATATAATTAACCCAAGCCTAACATAATTTTATAATCACTGCTTTCTGTTTTATTGCAGTTTAACTTACTTTATGTACTTACTAAACGCCAGTTTTACTGTGTTTTATGCTAAATGTAGCATGAATTGTTCTGCAAATGTGCAGTCTCTGTGATATGTTTTGTTTTAACCTTCCACAGTCTTGCTGGTGTCAATCTCACAAATGAATCTTGTGAAACTCTAACTTCAGTTCTCCAATCATCTAACTCACATCTGACCGAACTGGACCTCAGCTCCAACAGTCTGGGAGATTTAGGAGTCAAGTTTCTCTGTGCTGGGCTCTCAGATCCGCATTGTAAATTAGAGAAACTGAATCTCAGTCACAATGATCTAGAAGACATAGGAGTAAAGCTGCTTTGTGAATGTCTGATGAGTCCACACTGTAAGCTGCAGACACTTGGGTATGTATCTAAGTTTAAATTAAAATTCAGATTAAAAGGGATTCCCATGTATTTTTAAATACTGTGATGCTTGAAAGTTTGTAAACCCTTTAGAATTTAATAAATCTGACCTTAAACTTCATCAGATTTTCACACAAGTCCTTATAGTAGATAAAGAGAACCAAATGAAACAAATGAGAAAAAAAAAAATTAAATGTGGTCATTTATTTACTGAGGATAAATGATCCAATATTACAAGTATGTGAACCTTTGCTTTCTGTATCTGGTGTGACCCCCTTGTTCAGTAATAACTGCAACTAAACATTTCTAGTAGCTGTTGATTAGTCCTGCATATTGGCTTGGTGGAATTTTAGCTCAAACCATGATACTACCGCCACCATGTTTCACAGATGGGATAAGGTTTGTATTCTGGATACAGTGTTTTCCTTTTTCTAAACGTAACACTTCTCATTTAAACCAAAAAAGATCTGTTTTGGTCTATGCATCTACAAAACATTGTTCCAATAGCCTTCTGGCTTGTTCATGTAATCTTTAGCAAACTGTAGACGGGCAGCAATGTTCTTTTTGGAGAGCAGCGGCTTTCTCCTCGCAACCCTGCCATGCACACCATTATATGAACACAATGCATATCAAATGATTGAATATGTAATTTGTATTACTATTATTTTGTAAACTTGATGTAAATTTTTCCTGTTTGCAGTTTAGCTGGCACCAGCTTCTCAGAACAATCTTGTGAATTGATGGCCTCAGTTTTTGAGTCTGTAAATTCACATCTGGAACAGCTGGACCTTGGCTGCAACAGCATGAAAGACTCTGGAGTGAAGCTGCTTTCTGCTGGACTGAAAAGTTTACACTGTAAACTAGAGAAACTTGGGTAAGCTTAATGTAGTGTGTGTCTATTTATTAGTAATTTAGTTCATTGTCATTTAGCAGAGCTTACCCAAGTAAAGTATGTTTAGGACATCAAATGCTGAAGAAAAACAGATATAGTACATAAACAGTGCCTCTACAGCAGGCATGTCAAAACTTGGTGATCTAGTGCCCAGGAGGGTCCTGAAGGCCTTCTTTAGCTGGAACAGTTTAGATTAGGCAGTAGATCACCAGGATTAGGGTTGGCCACCTCTGCTTCGCAGGGTCAGTATTGTTTTATATCATTTGTTTGAGCCTTCTGCAAAGGCCTTTCTAATGTTAAAAGTAAATCGGTCAGCATTACAGTGATAGTAAAAAAAAATACATTGGAAACTGAACCATATTAAGGTAAACCAACAAAATGATATTTGTCACTCTACAGGTTGGACAAATGTGACCTTACACATGAATCTTGTGAAGCTTTGACAGCTGTTCTGCAGTCAAGCAACTCATGCATGAGAGATCTGGATCTTAGCTACAATAAACTGGGAGACTCAGGAATGAAGTGGCTCTGTGATGGACTAACACATCCAAACTGCAAACTGGAGAAACTTGATCTCAGCTACAATAACCTTGGCCATTCTGGAGTAAAAGTTCTCTGTGCTGGACTGATGAACCCAGACTGTAAACTGAAGAGTATAAGGTTTTTACTGATATTTAAATTACATAGAGGAGATTCTATTGTAGATATAGGATTATTTTGGATTGATGTTGATTAATGTTTTTGCATCTGACTGATAACAATGCTCTGAGCAAGTATGCATGATTTGTGACAATTTACATATTTCAGAACAGACATGTATGTGTAAGGTGATGAGATCATTTAAAGTAAGAAAATGTACTATTAACACCAGTATGGATGATGTAACATGGCACTATTGATGTAGTGACAAGGATGTTATTTGTCATCTGTAGACTTGCTGATGTTGGCATTCTGGAGGGGACATGTGAAACTCTCACCTCAGTTCTAGAGTCAGCAAATCCACACCTGAGAGAGCTGGATGTCAGCAACAACTACATGGGAGATTCAGGAGTGAAACTGCTATGTTCTGGACTGCAGAGCCCAAACTGCAAACTAGAGAAACTGAGGTGATATTGTATTATATGAGATTTCTCGTGTGTCAATGCCACCAGACAGTTTGAGTTTAGTTAATAAAATTAAATACCACTTTTTGGTGTACAACTGTTATTCCAAATGAACCCAGATGAAAATGGGATGTGGAGTATGGATGAAAATATGTGTACAAAGAGTAACCTTTATATAATTTATGTGTTCTCTATTGCAGACTGTGCTGGTGTAATATCACAGACAGATGCTGTTCAAATCTAGCCTCAGTGTTGAGTTCCCTCTCTTGCTTGAGAGAACTTGAGCTGAGAGACAATGACCTGCAGGATTCAGGTGTGAAGCAGCTTTGTGCTGGTCTTCAGGATCCACAGTGCACACTGCAGAAACTGAGGTAAGTAAAGATGTGTAGCCTCAGGGATTAGAAGTGAAGCATTTTCTGCCTCCCGTGATTTTGTTGGATTAATTTAAAATATAGTTATCTGAAAGCAGCTTTTGTATACTATAAACAAATTTTAAGCTGCTTTTTTATGAGCCTACTTATCGCTAACCTTTTTCTAATTTCTGCACTTGGAAGTTTAGTCGGTATAACCCAGACCTTCACACAAAGTCATATGGAATAGGCAAAATGAGTAACTTTAGTGAACGTGACACTTCAGGTATCTTCGCTGTCATCCTAGGGTTGCTGTGTCCAACAAATTCAAGAGTTTAATAAGAATGATGTGAAAAGCAAAAACCTACCAGTAATCAGTGAGCCTCTGGAATAAAATTGCAGAACTCTGAATGGATTGTGAAATGTTATCTAAGAACACAGCACTTGTCTCGAATGGGCTACAACAACTGAAGACTATGTTAGTTGTCAGAGCTGTCAGTGAAGAACAAGGATAAGTCTTTAGTGGGTTCAGCAGCATCAGAAATTGACCACTGAAGAGGGCAAAAGTTGCCAGGTCCTTTTTACATCATGTTGATGGAAGGATCAGAATTTGGTGCAAAACATGACTCCATTGACCCATACTGTTCGGTTTTAGTTATCCTGCCCGTGTTGGCAGTGTGATGGTGTGAGGATTTTTTTTCTGGCCACTGACTTCCAGAATGTCTTAACAGTAGGGCATATCTGAATACTGCTGCTGACCAAGTTCATCTCGTGACAGTTTATCCACACTTGGCTGGACACTTCCATGTCATTTGTTGCTGAATAGTTCCAGGAACATGATGAGTTGTCATTATTCATATGGCCTGCACAGACCCCAGATCATAACCCTGTTGAACGTCTTTGAGGTGTTCTACCAAGGCTGTGCAGGTGCTTATTGGCACATTTTAGCTACAAAAATCCATTTACACCTCATTTCAAAGATGCAATCATTTCCAAGTGGTGCAGCATTCCCATGGACAAATTCATATTGTTCTGGTCAAGGTCAAAGGAATTACGTGCTATTATGTGTACCTAATAAATCTGCACCTTAGCATAGATCAGTGTAGAATTTTCTGTAGGGGTATGTAAAACACAACATGTTTACATGCACAGTATAGGACCAAAATATGCCATTTTGCAGCTAATAAACTCTGCCTTGTACATTAATGCCAAATGAATCACCTACAATAAATTTAGCAATAATACCATTGATTGTCTTGTGAGAAAGCCTGCTCATTAGCCTTAAGAGCAAATTACCAAAAAATATATAGTTTTAAGAAGTTGAGAGATTATTTATATTTATATTCTACATATATTACAATGTCTATTTGATAGTGTGCTTGTAAATATCAAGTATGTTACTGGTTCATGTATTAAACATGAATGGAGTCTAATGTTCATCAGTCTTTCAGGGTGTTGTGTTACAGAAGAAGGTTGTTCTGCTCTAGGTTCTGCTTTGAGCTCAAATCATTCAGAGCTAAAAGAGCTTGACCTCAGCTATAATCATCCTGGAGAACAAGGGTTGAGACAGCTGTCCACCATACTGGATGATCCATGCTGTAAACTGGAGAAACTGAAGTAAGCAGAATAAAGATTCTGTGTCTCCACACACTTAGTTTCTTATAGAGGTGGGGGAAAAAACGATTCTTAGATGCATCCCGATGCGGACGTGGACGTTTCTGAATCGATTCACAAATGTCAAAAATCGATTTTCTAAATTTTAATTTATAACATAATGTTGACGAAATGCAAAAGGCAGAACTTGGAAGTGTGGAAGTGCAGCACCCGGGCAGTCTGTGGTGGCACAAAACAAAAACACAACTGGATGAGCTCTGCGTTAAGAGCTAACATTAGGTCAGGAGTCGACAACCCAAATGTTAAGAAGAGCCATTTTGTCCTTTCAACAAAAATCAAACCACCTTGGGAGCCACAGTATTAAATGTCCAGTGTGTCTCGGTATGTGTTAATGTCCTAGTATGGGCTAAAAAATATAAACGAAAATGCAGATTTACTTTGCTGTGCTTTAAGCTTTAGCTATAGCCGCTTTCCTCCCATCTCCGCCAGAAAACTTAAAACTCAAAAGCAGCGCAGCTTATTGTAAAATGTCTCTCAACGTTCGACTGTTTTACGAGGCTGAAATCGCTTCTCATTCTCCAGCTTTTTATTCGAATGTTCCCGTTCCACCTTAAATTCTGCCTGAGGCGCCCAATGTAAATGCAGCACCGTTTAAGGTGGAATGGGAAAATACGAAAGAGAAGCTGACATCATCTTCGCAACTTTTTAGTGTTTGACAGTCTCTCTTTGTAGGTTTAACATTCTAGGAAACCAACTGTGCTGCTTATAAATGCGAGTAAGTCCATTCGTCTCCAAATGTTCATCTTAATCATTCTCTTTGCCGTTGAGACGTTGAGAACCAGGGCTTTCGCGTTACGTTTCGCACTTTGGAGCCGAGATACAGCGTCCCGTCTCAGAGATAATTTACTGATACTGCGCATTTGATCACAGATGAGTGGCAGCCAGTGTTTTATGTGCTCCAAACAAGAGCAGTAAATGATAGTCTTTGAGTTCTCTTGCCACATCACTTCCATTTGTTTTATTCATAAAATATATTGTAAGTAAATGCATTTTGGATTATTACAAATACTTTGCCTTAAAAGTACCAAGTTCTCACACAGTGAGAAAAAAAGAAATATTATATAGAAAAAAAAAAATGCATCGATAATCGTTTTATAATCGCATCGCAGCCCTCTGAATCGTAATCGAATCGAATCGTGGGGTGCTTAGAGATTCCCACCCCTAGTTTCTTATATAAGAGGCTTCTGAAATTAAAAAGAGCTCTCAAAGACTCTCTAGAACTTTAGAACTAGTGTTTAAGATCTGCAGAAGCTAAAATGTGGAAGAATAGGTTTGCCATAATCTCAATAGCAGATACTTTGAGTTCCAGAACAACCACTACAGCTTTGGCTAATGTTCTGTTCTTCCTACAGTGTGGAATACTGCAGTGAGTTCAGAAACAAACCAGGACTGAAGAAATGTAAGTGTTATATTTATTTCAACATTTAATTTTAATTTGAACATGTAAGCGCACTTTTTGGTGCTCAAATATTAATGTATTAGTATTTCTTTGTGTTTGCCTGTTCATTATTTTGTCTTTGCTGTACTACATGATTAATTTAATCTGTATAGTTTAACATGTTACACTGATGAATCTCAATCATTGGATTTTCCACTATACTCATTAGGAATGTATGATTCACTACTGATGCTAAATGAGGCCTATTGTTCACTAACTGATGTCCTGTTCTAAGTCATTTGATGGATTGTCCAGCTATTTTTCATTAAGTCCATGCAAATTTACCTAAAGGGACACCAGTTCTTAACATGTTTAATTTCTATTTCTGTTCTGTCAAAATGCTTATACAATTCCAAAAAAGTTAAACAGTAGGAAAAATATAAATAAAAACAGCAGTGATTTGCAAATCGTTTCGTATTGAATTGAAAACAATACAAAGACGAGATATTCAATGTTTTAACTTTGTTTTTGTATATACACTCACTTTATTATCTGCACCTCCTTTGTTTCCACACTCTTTGTCCATTTTATCAGCTCCACTTTCCATATAGGTATTTTGTAGTTCTACAATAACAGACTGTGGCCTGTCTCTTTCTCTGCATACTTTGTTAGCCCCCTTTTACATTGTTGTTCAAATGTCAGGAACCCCACAGGACTGCCACAGAGCGGATGTAATTTGGGTGATGCACTGAAGTGCAATTGACATGGTCATGGTGTGTTAGTATGTGTTGCGCTAGTACCAGTGGATCAGACACAGCAGTGCTGCTAGAGTTTTTAAACACCTCAGTGTCACTACAGGACTGAGAATAGTCCACCAACCAAAAATATCCAGCCAACAGCGTCCTGTGAATGACTTACACAAACTGTGCAGCAACAGAAGAGCTACTGACTCTGACTTTACATCTACAATGTGAACTAACAAGGTAGGAGTGTCTAATAGAGTGGACAATGAGTGGACACAGTGTTTTAAAACTTAAGCAGCACTGCTGTGTCTGATCCACTTGTACCAGCACAACACACACTAACACACCACCACCACGTCTGTGTTACTGCAGTGCGGAGAATGATCCACCACCCAAATAGCACTTGTCTTTGGTGTACTGAGTATACTGAGAAACAGATGGACTATAATTGTAGAACTGCTAAGTGCTCCTGTATGGTAAGTGGAGCTGATAAAATTGTCAAAGAGTGTAGATACAAGATACAGTATAGATAGATACACCTAATAAAGTGACCAGTGATTGTATATACTTATGCTAAACTAAGTCTTGCAACATGTTCCAAAAAGCTGGGACAGAAGCATGTTTACCGCTGTGTTACATCACATTTTCTTTTAACACTGTTTAAAAATCATTTGGGACCTGAGGGCACCAGTTGTTTGTAACGGTGGCAGATGGAACCAGACGCTTGCAGCAGAGGCTTGAATTAAGATCTTTATTAACAATCACAATCGTAAATCCAAAGCAGAAAGTCGAAAACCAGAGCACCAAAACAACAAAAGCGAACAGCCAAAATCAAAGTAAACAGAAAACAGGTTACACACAGAAGCGTTCTAACCGTGCTGTTATTTCGCCATAACATCACGTTTTTTTCTACAAACACTGTATCACTCCGCTAAGACGCCGTTGCTAAGCATCGAGTTTGACAGCTGTAGGAGACGCTCAAGTCATTTGAATGTTTTTACTTCTTACTTTGAGCACAAACAGAAAATGGATACTTTTAAGATCACATTTGACTGACAACCGATTTGGTCAGACTCTGAAGATGAGACGACACTAAATTCCGAAACTGTCATCACCACTGAGCAGCTTTTCAGTCGGCAGCTGTGACAGAAGAACACCTAAACAACCTGGAATCAGCCAGACGTGAACCGAATACCATTCGCCAAAAGTGAGTCTGATCTTCAGAGTCTGACCAAATCGGACTGAGCCAAAAAACTGCCGCAATAAAAAACAAATAAGCTGCTCAGTGGTGATGACAGTTTGGGAATTTAGTGTATGGAGCTGGAGAACGAATTGCCGGCTGTGCAGCGAGTGAGCGGAGCTTGTTACTCTGACGTAGCAATGAGCTGCTTATTAGGGAACTATAAAAAGGTCATGGATATTCAATATTGTTTTTTTAACCTTGACCTTTAGATTTCTCCAGATTCTCCAAATATTTTAATATCTTTATGGACTGTAGAGGGTAAAATCCCTAAATTCATTGCAGTCTTGCTTTGAGAAATGTTGTCCCTAAACTGCTTAACTATTCGCCAACGCAGTTTTTCACAGAGTGGGGAGTGAACCTTTCTTGAACGCTCCTTTTGTACCCATCATTACCTGTTACCTGGGGAACTTTTCACTCCAAAAGGTTTTTTGGAACTTTTCACCTGTGGAAAATTCCAAAACAGGTATTTTTGATCATTCCACAAACTTCCCTGTCACACACTGCCCCTGTCCTAACGTTTTTGTAATGTGTTGCAGGCATCAAATTTGGAATTTGCTTATATTTACAAAAATATGTGAAGTTGATAAGGTATATTACTAAATATATCTTCTTTTTCAATTAAATACCTGTAAAAGACTGCTTTCTGTTTTTTCTTTGCATTTTACATACTGTCCTAACTTTTTTTGGCATTGGGTTTGTATCTAAGTAACAAAGAATGGGCAATTGATGCACTTCATAGTCCCAAACACAAACCCACACTTTTCCAGAAACAGTGTGAACAGGTGGAAAAAACACAATATCTGTCTATTTCTGTTGTAAAGTCCATATTGGCTTTATCCTTTGTATCCATATATGCATATCCATAATATGCTATACTTCTTGAACTTTCTTTCCACAGATGCCTGTGAAATCACGTTTGACCCAAACACAGCACACCGAACCCTGTCTCTGACTGGGAACAGAAAGGTGACAATGACGAAAGGGGAGCAGCCGTACCCCGACCATCCAGACCGGTTTGAGTTCTATGCTCAGCTTTTGTGTAGAAAAAGCTTGTGCAGGGCTCGCTTCTACTGGGAAGCTGAGTGGACTGGGGATGCTGTTTACATAGGGGTGACTTACAAAGGGATCAACAGGAAAGGTCGTGGGAATGATTGCAAACTGGGAACAAATAACAAATCTTGGATTCTGTTTTGTTCGGATGATGAGTGTTATGTCAGTTACAATGCCAAAGACACTGCCATTCCTTCTCCCAACCCCTCCAAAAGAATGGGAGTCTATCTGGACTGGCAAGCTGGCACACTCTCCTTCTATATCATTTCCCCGGATAGAGCGTACCACACATATACATTTCACACCACCTTCACTGAGCCCTTGTATCCAGGCATCAGGGTTCATAGCTATAATGGTACAGTCACATTATGTGAGCTAAAGTAACACATGAACACACATTTTAAGGAAAACATTGGAGTAAATGGCTGTCAAACTCTGGTCCTTTTAATGATGAGTTCATGGTTCATGCAGATCTTCTCAACCAGTCCTCTGAATTCTGCTACCATAGGATACTAATAGCTTACTCATATAATACGTGTTTGGATGCATCTGCACTTGTTATGATTCTCCATTCATTTATTCACCTTTTTCCTTTAATATGTCACCCATCTGTATGTTCACCCTTTATTTATTTTGTTAATTATTTTGTTAATTGGTGTTTTTGTGTCATGTTTTGTTTTATTTATGTAGTTCTTTAAAAGAGAACAGGATGTTTACAGCTCAAATGCAGTCATTTTATTTACCATTTAACACCACTGGTGAACCTTAATGTGTCTTCTGCGTTTTTATTTGTGATGTTACTAATGGTAAAATAGTGGTAAATCTGGAAAGGTAAGTTTTCTTTGGGGATCATTTTGCCTTACAACGCCCTGCATGTGTACATATGTAATTCCTGCCAACAAACAATGGGTTAGTGGTCATACATAACACATAATGTTGATACAAATAAAAGGTAGTGAAAAAGTGGGAGGGACATGTCTCTACTGCCAGAGCTCGGAACGCATATATAAAAGGTAATTGATAAATCAATATGTGGTTCCATCCCTACTGGAATACCCTATGCTTTATTTTCTTGTGGATACTGTAGCTAAATATTACTATGCCTCTATTTGATCCTACCACTTGGCTGTTAGTTTTCAAATGTATCTGCATTTAAAACAATATAAAATTCAGATTTCATTGGTTAATTGATTAATTCATTGTTTGTTTGCAATTAATATTCTGTTCTAATAATTAAATCATGGGGAATTTGTTTAATCCTGCCTTGAAGATTCCCCACACAGTGGGGAATATTATTTCAAAAAGGTCGATCTTCAGGAGCAGGGCTGGTGAACATCGTTATAAAGACTCTAAAGATTACATATTCTGGTGATTTAAAATACTGTTCCTGCTCTCACATCCTTTCTACAGGATTCACAGGCTAACTGTCTACAGACAGAGCAAAAAACTCCATTGTCAGGTACTGAGTAATCTAGGAGAAGGGATTTTCAATTTGGGTCTTCACCATAAACCGAGTAATATGAACTTGCCGGTTTGTTTCCAGACAACGGCTCTTGTAGGCTTTGCAAGCTAAGCTATTAGGGACATTGAACGACCCTGGCATGTGCAAACACTGCTCGCATCTCACTATGCAAAGCCTATGCCGCAGACTTGCATGCCAAGCCAGCTTTTTGGATGAGGACCATCTCGTATCTGCTGGCACTAACACACCCAGCATGTAGCAGGTCGCCACACCTGTTAAACCATCTACTTCTGCAGCTCTAAGCTAGGGTGACCAGGTCGATGCCCCATCGCCCTTCTCTGCTTGACGTGGAGGTGGAAGAAGAGGAGGCAGAGAAAGATGACAATGAGGGCGGCTCAGAATTCCTTATCTCGGACAAGGAGGATGAATTTGTGCTGGGTAATGAAAACACCGCCCCCCCCTCTATTTCGGCCATAGCTGTTTGTCTGGTATTTCCTCCCTTTTCATCACCTTGCCAGTATTGTTCCGTGGCCAATAGCAATACAGGTCATGTAAATTAAAGAACTATATGCAGGACCAAGTGTAGAGCCTTAAAATGTAATGATTTAAATTACCTCTGTAAATCCCTTTAAATCCCTATTTGTGCAGGTGAGTTATGTCACAAAAGAAACAATATTAATAACAGGAATTACATATGTAAACATGAATTTGTTTGCAATTAATATACTGTTATTATTAAATCTTGGAGAAAATGTTTGATCTTTCTCTGAATCCTAGAACTTCTGCACTTAAATGATGTAATAGTGCAGAGTGTCTGCAGAAATAATTTAGGCTAAATTTGAATATTGAAACTACTATTCAGGTATTCAATAGGCGGCATCCCTATTTGCACAGTACAGAGTTCCAAATGACTAGATAAAATATGTATTGTTTGGACACTTAAGACAAATACTGTGCTCTTTTTTGGCTTGAAACAATCTTATATTCCTGTTTTCCTTCAGTCACTTCACAATTTGGATGGGAGGAGTTTTTTAATTGCTGAAGATAGTTTTCAAAAGAGAAAGCACTGCAACTTCCAGAATTCTTTGGCATCAGCTGACATGTGAATGAGTGTGTGTATTGTACACCAAAAAGCTTTCTACATACAAGAATCTTCCTTGTTCAACCAGAAACAAGCAGTTCATATGCATATGAACTGTAGTTTTGAACAAGTTTTGGATGGAAAAAAAACGCACAGAGCCACACTGAAGGTCATAAAGTGCTCAAACAATGAGTCTGGAAGGATTCCCCTTAGGACTGCCTTTCCTGCGTACAGTGCAACTGTCAGCATTATATGTATGTATGTAATGCTTGTATGCAGCAGCTCGCCCATGGAAACTCATGCCATGAAACTCCCAGTGCACAGTTTTTGTGCTGATGCTGATGCCAGAGGAGGTTTGGAACTCTGCAGTTATTGAGTCAGCAGAGCGTTGGCGACTTTCGTGCTCTATGCTCCTCAGCAATCAGCGACCACACTCCGTTGTCTTTACATGGTCTGCCACTTCATGGCTGAGTTGCTGTGGTTCCTAAATGCTTCCACTTTTCAGTAACACCACTCACAGTTGATCATGGAATATCTAGGAGAAAGAAATTTCACAAATTGACTTGCAATGGTGGCATCCTATTACAGCACCACGCTCGAATTCAGTGAGCTCTTTAGAACGACCTGTTCTTTCAGAAATGTTTGTAAAGGCAGACTGCACGGCTAGGTGCTTGATTTCATACACCTGTGGCAATGGGAGGTGTGTCCCTATACATTTGTATGGTGTATGTATAATGTATGTAGCAACCCAACTGGTCAATGCCTCCCACTGAGAAACTCCACCAGGACAATTTTCATGTTTCAAATTTCCCCCATTATCTGTATTTGATTGATCTTGAGCAATTGTCCAGAAACCATACCTTCACCTTTAGGCCACTTGGGCTGTGTTCAAAATAGCCTACTACATCCCACTCGCGTAGTATGCAGTATGTGACCAACATGGATTTCTCTAGTTTGCCAAAGATACCTGGATAATTTACTGCTCTGGCAAATTTTCCAGAGCTGTGCTCTGCTGCTCCTGTCCCTTCCTACTGCTCCTCTCCTACCCTGGAAGAATGCAAAGGAATCGGGGAGAGGAAAGGAGCAGGAGTAATGGAAAGAATGAGCAGAAACTGGAGAAATAGCTGATTCCTGTCAACGTCAATAAAGTTGATGTTGACTACTGATGAACTGAGCCTATCACAACTAAAGCACACCTCTGATACAGCTACACAGTGCCAGCCAATTCACATTAGTGTGATTTTGTACTCTGAATCTTTTTTATTTTATTTTAGACAAAGTACAAAGTGCAAAACACAAGGAATACTACCACAACCGTAACATGGAGTTTAAAGTATAATTGGTTTGCTCCATATTTGTCTGTTCTCTCTGGGTGTGCATGCAGGGAAGTCACTTTATAAACAGTAAAAGTCTTCCCTGGTAGCATACACTGGTGTATCCTACGCTGGAAGCTGCTTCGGCGGGTATTTTAAGCGGATTCTCTTTTCTCTTCTGGTATTCGGACAGTTGGTAAGATGGTGTCCTGAAAATAGTTTCTGGGTCACAGAGAAGAGGAAGAGGATCAGTAAGAAAAAGCAGTAAGTTTAGGCGAATAAACAAAATCAGTAGATTTCTGACATTTTGGCTTGCTTATACTAAAACCAGTTTTTAAAGAAAAATATAGATCTTTGAATCACTGGCAAGACTTTTTATATTAAGCAAATGGTAGATATTATTTGATAACTAAACACAGGGTTTTAGACAATGTGTAGACGCTATATTGAATCTAGTGTAGCTGGGAAATAAAGTTTTGTACATTGAAGAATTCGATATTAGTTTGGAAATTTTGCAGTTTAGCAGAAATATGTACCATTGTAGCAAGCTGTTTCTGGTACTTACCTGTCTAACTCAGTCCCTATTTCTTTCTCATACTGCTACTCAAATTCTGATGTTCCAGCCTAAATGTCTGAAATTGACTGATATTGTGTTTTTGCCTAGTACAAAATGTTGTACCAGTGGCTGAAGAATGTATATATTTTTTTATAATGTTACTTTTCCTAAAGCTTAATGTGTCCTGAGTCAGATTATATTAATAAAGTGCCCATTTTTAGGAGAGACTTCCACTAGGGGTGGAACTACATATCAATTTATTGATAATGTTCATTAAATCAATAGAATATATCAGGTAGAATATATATTTTGTCCTTTCCTTTTATATGAGTGTTCTGAGCTCTGGCAGAAGGGACATGTCCCTCTCACTTTTTGACACTGCGCCAGGACATTTTTGTGGGGTAGCAGGATGGTTGTCAATAAAAGTATATTGCTTATATTGTTGATAATGTTTCCCGTTAAATCTTCCACTCCAATTATTTTACATCATCATTACAAGCTAAAACAGAGGGTAACTGAATAAGTGTCAATGCACCACATGCACACTGAGCTGTGCCAAAAAGAGTTTCTGTCAGCAATTTAGGTCTGTCTGAGACCATTTTACAGTTTTCAGAACACCATCATCATGCATGCCAGCGAATTTTAAGGCCTCAGTCTATTGTTTTGATTATGAAGTAAGAAAATTAGGGTATTGTTTCACCAGTTACATCAGGGGTGTCCAGTCTTAGCAGCAAAGGGTGGGTGTATTTACAGATTTTTATTTCAAAGAAGCAGGGGCTCCCCTGATTCCGCTTATTCAGGATAAACAATTAATCATGAAAACCTGTAGCCACACTCTGTGGATACAATTGCCATCACCATCAGTTTCACCTGGAGCTTTAATTCAAACACGACAGCCGTCTATAGCACCCACTACACATCGGAAAGCTGCATGATTCCCCAGCTTCACAAAACCTTGAGAAATGCTTTGTAATTCTTTATTTTTTGGATTCTGGGGGAATTTGCTTCACTTCACTGCTGTCTGATTATCTCATACCAGTGCAACACACACTAACATGCCACCACATCAGTGTCACTGCAGTGCTGAGAATGATCCACCACCCAAATAATACTGTCACACATCCCTCCAGCTTGGCTCACACAAGGACTCCATTTCCCAGAATCTGCTGGGAGATCACGTGATTGTAGGACTTCCGCAATCCACCAATCACCGTTCACAGTCATCTGAATACTGTTGCACCGGCTCTGTTTGTCATTAGGCTAGTCTTAGTTTAGTTTATAAGCCTGGGCTTCAGACGAGTTATTTTGCGAGGTATTGCTTTTCCTAGTAGAGCTACTGAGTGTTTTGTCTGATTGT